CTATCCACAAAGGTCACAAATGGTGACCTCCTGACCCCAGGATGCTACAACCATTATAAAGTGGCCTAATATTGATCATGGGACTGAGGGGATGTTGTGACAAGTTTTAAGCGTGACCAATTCTAAGTCACTTTTTTTTTTAGTGCTGTTGTCCTTTTGAACAATGACTAAATGAAGGTTGCGAGTCCAGGACTACCTGCCCCACGAAAAAGGCTTGTCTGCATTTAGCTTTCTTTTACAGGAGAAGAGTTCAAGAACTGTTCAGTGTTCCAGCTTTCCATTCTTGGACATTGTCCATGTTGAATGTTCTGATCCTATTGTTTCCAGTCATGATCTTGCCTCCCCTTGACAAACACAGGTTAAAGGTTAATTCCTTGCTGCAATGACAGGGTGGTCCTTCTCATGGGAAGTATACCACCTAAAGCTAACAGTTTGTATGCATAAGATCCCTGCCTTTGTCGTAGCAGATGTTGATTGGCTGGCTTACCTGTCTGTTGCCATACTGGCCGAGGGTGCTACTGGATTTATTGGGAGGATTTAGGCAACGGATGAGAAGCGTTTGGTGCAGACGTTGGGTAAGGTTTGAGATAATTTTTTTGTTATCTGAAAAACTGACCTGTGTGTAAGATTTGCTGGTTGATTTATAGATTTTGTAATGTTTCTCTTATGATCAAAGATTATATGGGAGTCCAAAATTCAGGGCTCTCCTCCGTATTTGGAATGATGGGTGCAGTTTGAGTTTCTAAATCTCAGAACTTAGAAAGCGAAGACAAGAATCTTCTGGTACAGAAAACAAAAGTCGTGAAAAAGGCTTTTGTTTCCTTGTCTCAAATTGAAACCGAAGGATAATTCGGGGTGTGTATGTAAGATTATCATCTGACAAAGGATAAGTAACAAAAATAATTATTTAGTAAACTGTTAGGTTTGTTTTTTATGTTTTATTGATTTTTTAATTTTACATTTAAGTATTTAAAAAGCAATGTGGCAGCTGAGTTAATAGATAATTCAATGACATACAAATATCTTTGGTATAAGTCTCAAACTACCACATTAAATATTTCCTCTCTTTTTCCCTTAGTATTTACTGTCTCATGTTTAAACTAATACAATTCTTATTATATCAATTAAATAAAAATAACATTCTTACATTTATTAATAATTTTTAGCTTATACATATCCTGGTTATTTTAACATTTAGTCTTTAGAGACAATCAATGTCCTAATTAGTTTTTCCCAAATTGTGGTTTAGAAAATGCTCTGACTTTTTAGGATATGTATTGCAGGTGGAACTCAGAAGTATGTTATATTGGCCTAGGCCTAGGGTAAAACCAGAAATCTGAAACATTTAAAACCTGCTGTAAATGAAAACATGCCTGGATAGCCAGAATTATAAATGCCTTTCACTGGACATTCTTGTTTCTTTCATGGTGAGGCTTGACTTACTTGATAGACTGTTTAAGATATGAAAAGTTGAGAACTACATCTTTACTAGAATGTATGAACCTGGCCACTGTGTGAATGATAGATAGCAGGATATTGTAACTATGGGTTTTTCAAATCTTCATTATTTTAATGTTGACACAAATTTGATGGCACTTTGTCAGGCTTAGCTGACAACAGACAAAGCTAAGGAATGTTGAACTAGTTTACTACTAAAATTAGGGTTTCCCAAAGAGTGCTAGGGCAGTTGGGAAATTGAACAAATAACTCAGAACAAAGTGACTTTTTTTTACTGTGCCAGGAAACACTGCTATAAATAAACTTGATTTGCCACACACTGATTAAATCTGCTGTACAGCAGTCTACTGTATAAGTCATTCTGGTTCTTTCTAGAGATGTGGAAGCTCCAATACTGTATCCACCCCCCACAGCTTCAAATTGTCAAATTTGAAAAATACTGCTAAATAAATGACAAAATCAGTATGATCAGAGAAGTACTGTCTTCTTGCAAATAGTATATATCAGTGATGGCGAACCTTTTAGAGACTGAGTGCCCAAACTGCAACCCAAAACCCACTTATGCATCATCAACTGCCAGGTGGGCGTGGCCCATTGGGTGGGCGTGGCTGCGGTGGTAATGGCAGACTGGGTGGGACTAAAAAGTTCAATCAATTTCAACTTTGCAAGATCTTTTTTTTTCCCGCGAGAAGTTGAAATTGATTGAACCTTTTTTTTTTTTTTGCACACGGCGGCGGAGGCCTAAAGCGAAAAGGTTTTATAAAACCCAGCTGAAGGCCTAGGACTGGGGCGATGGCATGCGTGCCCACAAGAGGGCTCTGAGTGCCGCCTCTGGCACCCGTGCCATAGGTTCGCCACCACTGGTATATATGAAGAAGTGCTTGAAAATGATCTGAGCTGTGCAGATTTTCCTCTCTTCTCTTTTTAAATTGCTTGTCTGTTTTGAGTTCTGAACACTTAGCCTCTAAGGATTAGAAGTGTGTAAAAGATGGCTGGGTTCTTTGATGTGATTGCTGGGGGAGAGGGGAGAGTGAGGAAGTACAACAGCTTGCACTATTACCTGTGATTAAGATGATAATAGAACTGAGCTATAAGAGGTCTCTGCATCTCAATTAATATAGCCAGTGAGGTGTGTCTTCACAGTTTATTGAATAAACCATGGCTACTTGAACTCTGAGTTATAATTCCTTGAATAGGTGAGCGATTATATAGATTTGTTAGATAAGTAGTAAGTAAATGATACACAACTGACCAGAAAAACGAGAAGGCGGTGAAGACTATGTACGAATCCACATAGCCTCAGCCACCTTCCACCAATCGGTTTGCCAGTTGGGCGGGTAAAGAAAAAGAAACTCCTATAAGAGCCCTGCTTTATCATAGCAGACATTGATTGGCTGGGTTACCTGTCTGTTGCCATACCGGCCGAGGGTGCTATTGGATTTATTGGGAGGATTTAGGGAACTGATGAGAAGCGTTTGGTGCAGAAGTTTTGCAAGCTACGTTGAGTAAGGTTTGAGATAAAATTTTTGTTATCTGAAAAACTGACCTGCGTGTAAGAGTTCCTGGTTGATTTATAGATTTTGAAATGTTTCTCTTCTGGTCAAAGATTATATGGGATAGATGTTGTGTTTAGGGGCACAAATCTTTTATATACTGTATTTGCAGAGTGCCTCATTACAGCCCGTGGTATTAGGGGTTTTTTTGCACAAGGTCCTGGTAAGACCATCCTCCTGATTTGCTTTTGAGTCCAAAATTCAGG